CCAGCCCAGGGCCGACATATTTGTCTCAAATAGTAAGGATGTATTGTGTCATGTGAACTAAAGGAGGGTTTAAGTTTAAGCATTACTTCCTTTACAAAATGTAGAGAGACAGGATTGAAAGAACTCCACAGGACAGGTGAAGTCATCTCTGTTGGGATTTCCTGATCGGAGACCAGAATCTGGGCCCTCAGACTTGAAGCTTTATTGCCAAAATAACTAGAGAAATCCTCACAAAGATTTTCCGCCAAAGACGGGCAGTGAAGAGAAATTACAGGGGGGTTTAGAACGGAGTTGATAACAGAAAAAAGAGCTTTTTGGGTGTGGTGATGTTTCTCAATTAGTTTAGAAACATAGGAAGCCTTGGCTTTCTTAACAGCATACTGATATGACGATAGGCAATTCTTTAAGATCTCATAAGAAATCTGTAATTTGTCCTTTTTCCACTTCCTTTCTGCTTTTCTGCATGCCTGTCTCAAGGAACGAATACTATGATCAACCCATGGCACCGACTTAGATGTAGATTTTGGCTTAAAGAGCTTAAAAGGTGTTGTAAGGTTTAAAATATCTGTCCATGTAGTATTTAAAACAATAAAATGATTTACAGCATCAAGATCAGATAATAGAGATTCTAATGATAAAAGAGGGTTGATCTCATTATAGAGCTTGACAAAATCCTCACAAAAATGAGGCAAATATTCACGGGCTTGTGTACCATCAGATGCAGGTGTAAGAGAAGGCAGTGGGAGGGACAATTTAAATAAAACAGGAAAATGATCAGAGATGACAGAATCAATGACTTCAACATCAGTTAGATGTTAGACCATAGACCATGTGACAAAATTAGGTCCAAAATATGTCCATGAGTATGTGTAGGATGATTAACCCACTGCAGCAGGTTAAAAGAGTCAATGATGTTTAAAATCTCAGGAGTTAGCTGCTTAGAGGGGCAACATACATGGACGTTAAAGTCACCTAAAATAAGGATGCGATCGTGTTTAGTGATCAAATCCCCTACAAACTCTGAAAACTCTACTATGAAGTCTTTGATTAGATGTGGTGGCCGATAGATCAGAGCTAAGACCACAGGTTCAGACCAGTTCAGAAATAAAATCTGAGCTTCAAAACTCGTGAAGGTTGCGGAAGATAACAGTCGGCATCGAGGTCTGAAAGAATCTTTAGCAATGATAGCTAGCCCGCCGCCTCTGCCTGATGATCACGGAGCGTTGTAAAAGTGGTAGTTGGCTGGAACAAGTTCAGAATATGGACTGAGGTCGCCTACCTTCACCCAGGTCTCGGTGATAAACAGAAAATCCAGGTAGTGAGCAGTGGTAAAAATCGTTCAGGATGTACATCTTGTTCACCAGAGAGCAAGCGTTTATCAGAGCAATTTTTGGGGAGCGTAGAATGGTGCGCGAAGCAGATGCTTTGCTCAGAGGACAGAGGTTGACAGTATTTGCGCCCTCACGGCGCTGCCAGATAATAATCCGAAAGTGGAGATATTCCGCTTGAGCCAAAGAGACAGGAGAAGCAGGAGCAGAGGCAGGTGGTCCGTCACAATTGACCTGAGCCAACGTGTCACCGGGGTTGGCCGCTCCAGCGCCATAAAGCAGTCCGACACCATAGCCCATGACCGAGGCAGAGAACTGAGTACAGCCAGAGAACCAGCTCTCATGAAGGTCTTTATTCTGCCGATCACACCCCCACGTTTCCCGCGTCTTCTCTGACGCTTTCTTGGAGTAGTGTCCAGAGGTAGTCGCCGGAGGAAGGCCGGGACGTCCCGTAAGAGTCCAATGTGTGTGGTCGGCGAATGGTACATAAATGTTTGTGATTTGTATAAAACCTTTTTTCAGATATTTTAAAGTTTTGGTTGGTTGTATTAACTGTGAAAACATTTGAAAAAAATATTTGCATGATTTGTAATTTGTATGAAATTTCCTGACCACTGAGCTCACTGTGTTAACTGTTTTGAAAACAGTGACCTGAGTTTGGAGAAATGTGTCAAATCGACTGAGAAAAACTGTAATATCATAAAATGCAGATCATTTGTCATCATATGTTATTTGATCTTTATACCGTGGGGCTGTCAACCTGATTGGTTGATGAACGTTCAAAGCAGTTCAGTTATTTTCCAGCAAACACACAGCTACAAGTAGTGCCAGGTCTGACATTTTTAGTAGCGGCGATAACGTGGTTTTTAAAGTAGTTAAACTTACAGTTTCACTATTAGTAGAGACACTGTAGTTAGTAGAGAGATATTGAGAGACACACAGACTCAGGTACAATAATTCACACAGGCTTAATCTCTCTCTCTCTCTCTCTCTCTCTCTCTCTCTCTAATAATTGCATTATTGCATTAGTGTGCATACCATTGACAGGCCTCCATTATTAGCTCTAAAATATCATTTTGGAATTGGCAACAGAGACTTTGGATGAGATGCATAAGAAAGTAGTTCTACACACAAGAATGTTTTAAGTGTAATAACCTGATTATTCAGTAAATCAGAATATTTTGTGTTTTTTCTTTTATTCACAAGAATGTATTTTATTTCATTATAATGATGCATTAAGGCATTTAATGTATTTCATTATGTGGTAAATAATTACATAATTTCATAGTTTTAGTATAAAAGTTAAAATATGCATTTGCATAGTGTTAAAAACGTTTTATAAATATATAATGTATAGGTCGTTTATAAGATAAAAACCCAGATTTATTTCATCTATTATTATTTCATGATGCTTTGAGTGTACTACGGGAAAAACGGAAGCGTAGAAGAAGAGAAAAATCGAGAAGCACGGAGGACTGAACAGGTCATGCCACTGTGTCCGGGGAAAATGGTAAAAAGTGCTTAGAGCCGCTTTTCAGCTATTTAATAGAACACTATTAGATATGCTCGGAACCCTTGAGCCCAACAAGAAAAGAAAATGGAGTCAACGCATTGCACATCTAGTCCATGCTTACAATTGCACATCAAACGAAGCCACTGGGTTTTCGCCCTACTATCTTATGTTTGGGCGTGAAGCGAGGATGCCTGTGGACTTATGTTTTGGAACATCCAGTGACAACACGTGCAATAAAACTTACCTA